ATTAAGCCTTTTATCTAGTAAGTATACTATTTAAATTTTTGAATGTATTTGAGTGACAAGTATTCGAATACTTTGTATAGTGTATTCGAATACCTTTGATAGTATTCGAATACTTTTGAAAGTATCGAATAAATTCTAAAGTATTTGAATACTTATTTTTTAAGTATTTGAATACTTTTCAATGTATCTGTATCTGGTATTCGCTTGTGCTGGACGTAAAAGTATTTAGTATTCAAGTACCTTTGATTTGTGTAAAGTATTTACTATTTAGTATTCAAATACTTTTTGAAAGTATTCTGCCCATCTCTGCTTAGTGCGACTTTTGCATGCCTCCCACTCACTCCCCGGTCTAGTAATAAAAAATCATTCAAAATTTAGACCTAAATTGAAATTATTCCACTGCGAATCGCTTCACAAAATGGAGAATAGCCTATTTTTCCGTAGTGTTTGTAGACACTTGTCCTCAAGCCCTCGTACAAACATCGTTAGTGCTCAACTTTTTGACTATCCATTTACTTTACCAGTAGCAGAAAAAGAAAGTTTAGGATTACGGCAGCACGTTAGTTAGCATTATAGCTAGATCAACATTCATTAATTCCTCCCTTAGTATTTTAATGTTATCGCTCGGTTCCTAAACGTTATACAAGATCTGTCAAAGATACTGTCGTGCAAATCCATTTTTTGTTAGTTTATTCATTGCGTTGCGTGTAATTAAATCGCCAAAATATTAATAGAATAAATTAGAAGCGGGAAGTAATTTATTCGATGAGGTAACATATTTCTCTTTTAAGTAGGGGATATACAACTCTAAACGCTAGAACGGAAATAGGGCAGTAGGTAGGTGCCGGCTATGGGACGACAATATAATTGGAAAAGTATTTATTACGCCCTATAAATGAAAGTAAAAGAAATGTTTATATTTCAACAGTGGAAGTGATGAATAAAAATTGCTAAACACCGGCGCGTAGAAATGAAAGTTTTAACTGGAAAACAAAATTTTCGGTCATCTGTTTAGTAATTAATTGTTATTAAGCCATAACATTTTACTTTCTAAATTTTGCGTATAACTCCATTATAAGCGAATGTAAAACTCGCTCGTGCGATTATAATGTTCACGTATACAGCTTTGCTTGGTGGACCAATTTACTTCTTACGTAATTTTCTTTTGGGTTCCACATCTAAAGCCTTAATTACGACTGCTGCTTTTCGTCTAATTTACTTTACGGAATTGATATAAACAATTGTCGTGTTCTTAATAAGTTTGCGTTTGTCGACAAAACGTATTTTCAAAATGAAAGGGCTTAAAACCATTACCAAAGTTAGCAGTTTTTCTGGTTATCAGAATAACCCGGTCCATTGACAACAACACTCATTGTTACCTGCCAGAAAGCATTTCCAATGTTTAATGGAAATCCTTGTGACTGGCTGGTTTCAATTATGTTTCTACTGCACGAAATTTGGACATTTTACTAGAATGTGTCGGAGTAGGAAGTCTTGCAATAAGAACAGATGTAATCACCCTCAATTACATAATGAATCTCAAGATAATAAATCTATACCAACGGATTTAAATATGGAAGTATCCTGTCATGCTGCGTGGAAAGCAAATGAATCCAAAGTGTTGTTTAAAATACTATAGAAGGTCTATAAGGTAAACCCAAAGCTATACAGTGTGATTGATTTTGATGGTCCAAGCGTATAGCAAACAAGTGGAAGAAGCAAAAATACTTAACTTTCAATTTCTGATAAAGCTACATAATTCAAAAAAACAAGTGATATAAGAAATTAATTTTGTTAAATAGAACTGTTACTTTTTTGTGTAATATTCACAAAGAGCTTGAAATTCTCGTTACAATGATATCAAATATGTTGTAATTACCTTAGAAATTAAAGCTACAGTCATGTGTTTAGAACCAATCGCATTAGCTGTGGAACTTTAAACAAAAACAAGAAGCGAAGAAAACAAATGAAAAGCAGTTACATATAATTATAACTTAAGACAAATTTAAACACATATTGCACTTGCTTTCTATGTATTAATTATCATTGCACATTACATTACTCCTCTTAACAGTTATCATCATTTGTGTAATGATAATTTTGTTGTATTGTGGTTCTTATAAGTCGCATTGTTCATTCAACTGATTTTATGACAGACATGATAAGTGAAAAACTCTCTTTTGTTTTTGTTTAAATTTCCACTGTTACTGCGATTGATTTTAAAACATTATACTGCGGTTTTAATTTCTAAGGTAATTAACATATTTGATATCATTGTAAAGAGAATTTCAACTCCTTTTAGAATATTACAGAAAAAAGTAACCGTTCTATTAAAAAAAATTAATTTGCTCTTTTACTTTTACATCGCTTTTTTTTAAATAAGTAGCTTTATCAGAAATTGAAAGTAGTTTTGCTTTTTCCGCTATTTTCCTATCTCCAATAATAAGAGAAGTATACGCATTTGTTTTATTTTGATGTAGGATATCTAGATTAATGTTAATGGTGTGATTATAATAAATTTGTTTGAACAATTTTCTTGTATTAGGGTACTATCATGTTCTATCATCGGAAAAAGAAAAAAAATCTCTATCAAATGAGCCTAATGAAAAGGTGCACTGCCATTTAAAAAAATTCAATTGTTTTTCGTTACTCATTTGCTTTCTGATATGAAAACAACTGAATGCTGCTTTATTATGGGAAATCAAAAATCAACTTTCATGTATAAAAATTTTGCATACATTCGATATTTACCGAGATATATACTATATTCCATACATAATGGACACCTTGTATATGAATATGAGTAACCGAAGAGTGGTGTAGGGTACACATCAACCCGATAAAAACAGCACTAGTTCTCTTCACAAGAACAAGAAAGGTAAAGAGTCTTCCTCATCTTCCCCTGCTATTTCAAGAACAATTTTCAGAGTCAGTGAAATATCTAGGAATCACAGTTTGACTGGCTATCAGGAGAACATGATGGTTGAGGAGGTCTTTTCCCATCACCCACAAACATATTTCAAAGCCAAATTTCGTTTTAAATCTCTATAAATTTTGTATCAGAAGATTATAATGTGCGAGGAGGCGTTTCAGCTCCTAATACACGAACTGGCAGTCAGAAATTTCTTGTAAAATTTTGACTGGCTACCAGGAGAACGTGATGGTTGAGGAGGTCTTTCCCCATCACCCACAAACATATTTCAAAGCTAAATTTCGTTTTAAATCTCTATAAATTTTGTATCAGAAGATTATAATGTGCGAGGAGGCGTTTCAGCTCCTAATACACGAACTGGCAGTCAGAAATTTCTTGTAAAATTTTGACTGGCTACCAGGAGAACGTGATGGTTGAGGAGGTCTTTCCCCATCACCCACAAACATATTTCAAAGCTAAATTTCGTTTTAAATCTCTATAAATTTTGTATCAGAAGATTATAATGTGCGAGGAGGCGTTTCAGCTCCTAATACACGAACTGGCAGTCAGAAATTTCTTGTAAAATTTTGACTGGCTACCAGGAGAACGTGATGGTTGAGGAGGTCTTTCCCCATCACCCACAAACATATTTCAAAGCCATATTTCGTTTTAAATCTCTATAAATTTTGTATCAGAAGATTATAATGTGCGAGGAGGTGTTTCTGCTCCTACTACACGAACTGTCATTCAGAAAATTCTTGTAAAATTTTGACTGGCGACCAGGAGAACATGATAGTTGAGGAGATCTTTTCCTGTCAGCCACAAACATATTTCAAAGCCAAATTTCGTTTTAAATCTCTATAAATTTTGTATCAGAAGATTATAATGTGCGAAGAGGTGTTTATCAGCTCCTAATACACGAACTGTCAGTCAGAAAATTCTTGTAAAATTTTGACTGGATACCAAGAGAACATGATAGTTGAGGAGATCTTTTCCTATCAGCCACAAACATATTTCAAAGCCAAATTTCGTTTTAAATCTCTATAAATTTTGTATCAGAAGATTATAATGTGCGAGGAGGTGTTTCATTTCCTAATACATGAACTGCCATAGTCAGAAAATTTGTGTAAAATTTTGACTGGCTACCAGGAGAACACGATAGTTGAGGAGGTCGTTTTCCATCACCCACAAACATATTTCAAAGCCAAATTTCGTTTTAAATCTCTATAAATTGTGTATCAGAACATTATAATGTGCGAGGAGGTGTTTTAGTTCCTAATACACGAACTGCCAGTCAGAAAATTTGTGTAAAATTTTGACTGGCTACCAGGAGAACGTGATGGTTGTGGAGGTCTTTTTCTATCACCCACAAACATATTTCAAAGCCAAATTTCGTTTTAAATCTCTATAAATTTTGTATCAGAAGATTATAATGTGCGAGGAGGTGTTTCAGTTCCTAATACACGAACTGTCGGTCACAAAATTCTTGTAATATTTTGACTGGATACCAGGAGAACATGATAGTTGAGAAGGTCTTTTCCCATCACCCACAAACATATTTCAAAGTGAAATTTATTTTTAATTCTTTACAAATTTGGTATCAGGAGATTATAATGTGCGAGGAGGTGTTTTAATCTTCTAATAAACGGATTTTTCACTGTGAAATAGGGCGTTTTGGATATTGGTGAACCGTGTCTTTCAGGGAACCAGCTCCGGAAATATTTTTTAAGGAAACAAGGAAAATCCTACCCTACAATACAAGTTCAAGGGTTTTGAGAATAACTTTACTATTGACCACCAGAAGTCTCGGCATGCAGAAATTGACAAATGGGTACCTCTTCTAAGCAACTTTTGGTCCCATAAAAATGCAAATTTCACCGATGAACGTTTGCGTCACCTAATACACTATAAAGTGGAATGAAATTATTATTATTAAGTTAATTATACCGGTCGAGCGTGGATTGCATCGCGTTTCCCAATAGCAAGGAATCATGGCGTGCAAATCAACATTACAATAAAATGTGGGTCGAAGGGAATTACGCGAGTTGCTAAACAATTTATTAAATCCTCATAATCTTCAAACTTTCACCTAAAAGGTGATTTAACTTTAGGTAGCCGCGGTATCGGGCCACTTTCATACTTCGGACAAACTTATTTTGAAGGTGGGGGGGAGGGCTTCCACATTTTTTTACAGCCTCGACCGTGAAAATTGAATACGTGAATCGAAGGAAAACGAAAGTTTAGTAATTATTCGTATCTTCGGCGAGTAACTTGCTTATGTAATTTTGTGTAAGGTGACTGTTTTAAAAGGTGAGATTGTGAGTGCATTTCTTAAGTGTAAGTGTATCAGTACTTATTTAAATCTTTCTTCGGACCATTTTCTCCAAATTACAAAAACTTGCAACCCAAAAACGAGACACTCTTCAAGGTTTATTGTCCAAATATTTGACACATGAAGGTTTTCTGAGTAATTAATTGCAAATCAAAATTTATAAGTGTTATAAAACCATTACCATCCAGGGTCTTTAGCAGTTAATGTTGATTATTATTACCTTTTGCTAATTGGAATTTTATTCAATGCTTAGAATATTGGGGAAATTCTGAGTAAGATTAGATTCAGGTTTACCACAAAATTTGGTATGGTTTCTTGTCGTAATGAAACAGCAAGCCTAGTTGAAGATTAAAGATTGGTATTAGGTACATTTGAAACGTATATCGCGGCAAAGGTTTTTTTTTGAAAAGGTGGCAGTTTCACGATAGTGCCTCGCCTCTTCACTTTCCACCTAAGGATCTTGAAGGAGCCTGTGCAAAATTTAGTTCCTTAACACTTTCCAGTCGAATCTTTTAATTACACAAAAACTCGAGCAACTAATCAGCGCCTGCACTTACATAATTCGGTGCTCCTTGCGAAATCCAATTAGACAATTACGTATATGTTTAAGTTAAAGATTGGACTTGAACAAATGAAAAACCTTACATAACTTAAAATTGTGTATTAGAAAGTGGTGCGGTTTTTTTAATTTTAAGTAGCTAAAATTGCGTTATTAAAATTCAACAATTTTTTCGGATTACATAAGATTTTGGGTATACCCTTTTTCATCTTTCAAAATTCCTGTCTTGAGATGACCCACTTCTAAACAGAATATGGGGAAAAATTCCGAATTCGCCAATAATTAAATGCTTGGACACGCCGATTGGTGTTTTTATTTGCCAATATTTTTCTTATACAGGGTGGAATGTATTATTATGTTGAAAACTATCCTACCTACCCAAAATTATCAAAAATTTAACTACCAATATACGTATTTTTACATTGAGAAATGAGTTCGCATCAAGAGCCGCAAGGTTTCTCTAGTCCACCGTCGTTCCTCACGGATAATTCTCTTTGCCTTCCTAATCGCCCTAGCCACTGCGCTTGGTTTTGTGAAAGACCCTCCTGGTGGCTTTCCTGAGATTTCCTACCTCTTTATGATTATTTAGCGAGGGATTTTCGTACCCCGCAGTTTATAAAATTGTCCCATTGCCATTTCCCATGAGAGTACCAAGGGTTGGAGAACAAGAAGTTATCGAGTCCTTCTTTTCTGGATGCCTTTAAATCCTCGCTGCGTTTTTAAGTCTTCCTTTTTTGCATTCCATACCCCTACGCCCCCCAGATTCTATGTTCTATGCAATACTTCTTTGAAGAAGGGGGTCTGATCATTTTCCGGAAAACAATTATAGTGTTCTAAGGGCTAAACGTTTTGTGGGGGAAATTTTTACCGAAGGGTCTGGGGGGTACGGAATACCCCCCAGTACATGGAATGTATTCTAAGAGGTAGCGTTTTGCGGGGAAAGCTTTACGGGGTATGGAACATCCCGCGATATATAGAATGTGTCCTAACGGCTAAACGTGGGGGGAAATCTTTACCTAGAGGTCTGAGGGGTACGAAATACCCCCCAGTATATGGAATGTATTCTAAGAGGTAAACGTTTTGCGGGGGAAAGCTTTACCGGGGGGTCTGGGGGGTTAGGGAATACCCACCAGTATATAAAATGGTCCCATTGCCATTTCCAGAGTACCAAAGGTTAGAGGTTAAAACGTTATCGAGTACTTCTTTGCTGGGTGCTTTTAAATCCTCGCTGAGATTTTAAATCTACCTCTTTGCTGGGGGGTATGGCCCCCAGGCAGGGGCGGACTGGCCCGGGGGGGGGCGACTCGCCTCGTTTGTATATTTTGTTACTTTTAATTATCAGCTGCAATTTAAAAAAAAACTATATTCTAATTGATTTTTGAGAAAGGAATACTTTAAAATGAAGCAAAAAATGTTTTTGTGGTGCACCGCAGAGCCCCCCCCCCCCAACCTTCATTACACTAATACTTTAATGACCCGTAACCTTTTTTTTAGCCATCTCCGTTTTTAATCTAGTTTTCGTTAGAGCCAAATACCACTAACATATGGCTATTGTGCCTTTTCCGCGATGCCGAACTGACCTCATGCTGAATTCGCAGTTCCAACCACATAACCCTAATTAATATAACTGAATATGATCCAAATCCTCGACATCTAGTCTCCAGGCATCGAAAGTCCGTTAAAACCAATGCTCTACAGAAATTAATCGACGCAGAAAAGACGGACTTCGTTTCCACCAAGGCGTAATAATACACTTCCACAATACGCTATTCATTTTAAGAAGATAGCGGTAGAAAGCATAGGGACAGTTTGACCTTCACTGTGATTGGTTAAAACACGAGTCAGTATTACCCTGAAAAATAAAAGTGACGAATTATGTGTTTTAAAGTTTCAGTTACGAACTAAACTGTCGAATTGTCATTAGCTGTCAATTTCAAAGATCCAAGCGTGATATCGTTTGATTTATATGTATATTTTTCAAATTTTGTGCCGTTTTATATTTTTCCTGTGTGTTTCGATCTTCAAACACAGCGCCATCTACTACCTTCTTATAATGAATGCAGTATAGTCAAATAATTGATTGGAAAATCCTCTACAATTTCTATGGTAATGTGCAATACCTAATCTGCTCTACCCTTGGAAAATTTCACAACGAAATTTCGAAAAAAGTTTCAAAGCTAATTAAAATTGCTATTTAAAAATTTCCGCGGTAATGTACTCCTAAAAGGATATGTACTCAAAATCCTCGGTAAATGCAAAATTTCCTCTAGACGAAATGATCGCCGAGGCAAAATTAATGAAGCGTTTTGAACATCCTGTTTATTTGGTTCCCGAGCATTTAAATGTTCTTATTTTTCGACTTTGTTACAGGAAGCAATTTACATTAAAACTATTAATGTAAACAATAAAATGTTCTTAACAATTACATCCTTTTCGTTTTAAGTACTCAAATATATGGTTTTATTATCCGCGATACAAGGGCGATCAATAAACTTTGCATATGAGTATCGTATCGGATTAAAGTTAGATACATTTCACCTGATCCCCTATAATCCGATCGCGATTAGTGCGAGAAAACAAATTAGGGACGCAAAATACTTTTAGATCGTCTTCCTAACCGACTAATTGCGATTCGCCGGCCGCGAGCGAAATTTGCATATTCTGTTTAAAAACGAGGTTATCGGTTATTACCAAATGCGACCTCGATTTTTTTTCTCGATACGAATACTTACGCGAATCGGTTGCACAAGAAAAATGCACCGAGAGAAAGTGGCACTGAAATTCTTTCTTTCGATTTTAGAACTATGACCGGAAATGGAAAACTATTGAAAGATCGGAATCGCGTGGACGAGATGTTCGCGGATAGGACATTGCTAATCACCGGAGGCACGGGATTTATGGGCAAGGTTCTCGTCGAGAAGGTCCTAAGGACTTGTCCTAGCATTAAAAGGATCTACTTGCTCATCAGGAACAAGAAGGGGAAGAACCCGCAGGAACGACTTAAGGAGTTATTCAACAGTGCGGTGAGTCTACCCATAGGCCCATTATAATTAATAATGATTGCTCATTGAGCATTGACGCAATAAGTTAATTAGAATTAACCACTTAATTACCATCAGTATGCTTCGTTTCCTTGAAATCGTCAAAGTGCGTAACTAACACTTTATCTTTATAGAAAAACACAACTTAATTGATCCTCTACGGCAAAATTGTCTATCACAATTAATTTTACCCACGTCTAGCTATGTAATAAAATCTTAAAAGTTTGGCTATAAGTTACAAATGGTACAGCCTTCCCTTGAAGAAGGCGCCCTCCAAGAAAAATCGAAAACTGGATCGCTTTTAGTCACAAATCGAACCTTATGGTCATGTTTATTGGTTGCAGATCTTCGATCTACTCAAAAATACCGAAGTGGAAACACTAAAAAAAGTCGCAGTAATTTACGGAGATGTGCTAGAAGAAAACTTGGGCCTCTCGAAGGAGGACCGAGAAATGCTGATAAATGAAACGAACGTCGTCTATCATCTTGCCGCCACCATCAGATTCGACGATCCCTTAAAGAAAGCAGTCCTGTTGAACGTAAGGGGGACGAAGTACATGCTAGATCTTGCCAAAGAATGCAAAAATCTGATTGTGAGTGGTAAGATTCCCAAAGTTGCGATTTACCAGCAAACTTTGTAGGTTTTCAATCACGTCTCCACCGCGTACTGCCATTTAAAGGAGAAGGTGTTGTACGAAAGGGCATATCCACCTCCGGCCGATCCGCACATGATTATAAAGTTGGTCGAGTGGATGGACGAGAGAGTTATCGATTCTATAACTGACAGGTATTGGGTGCGTTGTTGAGTTTACGAGCATTAATGACATTTTTTAGGATCTTGGACGGCTATCCGAACACGTACGCGTTTACCAAAGCACTTGCGGAGGCACTCGTCGTTGACGAAATGGACAATTTACACGTGACAATTTTACGACCTCCTGTTGGTAAGTTATTTCGGAGCCGGATCTTAACATCCACGGTAGCCTTTGCCGAGGATAAATTAAATTAGCGCATTATTTTTGTTTGAGATCTTCACACAAGTTTCTCAACTTGTTTGGGTGTTTTTCAGGGAACGTGTCACTAATAACCAATGCAAATTATTTATAACTAGTTTATTGATTTTTAACCTATTATACGGCATGAACCTGAGCGCTTTTCTTGTAAAACGTAGTACCGGGTGGTCTGGGGGGTAGGGAATACCCCCATCATACAAAAATTTGATTACGTTTTCCCAAAAGCGAACATGGGGTTGTTAGGGGGAATAGAGAAAGAATTATCGAGTCTTCCCTTGGTGAGGGTTCTGCTGGGGAGTATTCCAGACCCCTCGGTGCTGCCTTTACATTTACTGTTAGCATATTCCAAAAGAAAGATTTATTAGTCTATCCTGTTCTAAAACCTAATTATGAGAGTCTCTATTTATTCCAATAACTAAACCCACAAATTTAGTTTCCTAGGCACAGATAATTTCTTTACATTCTTTACATTTCTTGTCAACGTAAAATCTTCTTTTGGTTAAACTCTTTACCGGAAAACCTTTTCCTTCCAATGATTTTCGCCCGTTTTTAATTGTAACATTTTCGGTAAACTGGCGATAAATTGACGCTTCAGAAAAATATGAACTTCGGCTAACATAAAATCCTAACGAAATCTTTTGCCGCAACTTTACATGGAACTTTTAGATCGAATTCTCTCATACTACGACGAATGTACCGAATATTCCGAAACAGATTAAAAAACAAACCCTTAAAACCCCAAAAGTTCTAACTTCACAACGAAATTTCGAAAAAAATTTAAATGTTAGACCACTTAAATGACTAAATTATGTTAACGTCAAATTTTCTCCCTCAGTGGTCCCAATATGGAAAGAGCCCATACCAGGCTGGACTGATAACATCAACGGACCGATGGGTCTTCTAATTGCCGCCGGCAAGGGCGTACTGCGAACGATGTACTGCGATTCTCAGGGATACGCCGACTTTCTTCCGGTGGATATCGCCGTCAACGCGATGTTGCTTACCTGCATGGACTCCGTCGTTCAAAAGTAAGCGGTTCGCACTAATTACCATCAGCTATGGCACCCTAAATTTCCAGGAAAAGACGTATTTACAACTGTACGTCGTCGTTCGAGTACAAAGTGTCGTGGCAAGAAATTATTGAGATAGGCAAGGGAATCGTCGCGAACCGAATACCACTAAACGGTGTCGTTTGGTATCCCGGAGGATCGATGAAGAGCTCCAGATTGCACCACTACCTTTGCGTCATCCTCTTCCATTATATTCCCGCGATTATTTTGGATTCGATTATATTTTTGTCGGGAAACAAACCAGTGTAAGTGGTTTGAATCTTCGATTTCTTGTATTGAAATGTTCGTTTTGAAGGTTGTGGAGGGGACAGCAGAGGATTACCAAAGGATTTGATATCTTTGAGTACTACGCCAACAATCAGTGGGACTTCAATAATGACTGCGCCCTCCAAGCGCGCGACTTGCTCACGGAACGCGAGCTGGAGCTGTACAAGGTGGACGGACAAGGTATGGACCTGGACGAGTACTTCTACCACTGCACGCACGCGGCTAGGCTGTACATACTTAAGGAAGGAGACGAGACTATCGCCGGTGCGAAGAGGCACATGATGATGTGAGTTCACTTTCGGTAATCATTTTGTATTAAAAGGTCTCTTTCAGAATGTGGTGTGTAGACAAGCTGTGTAAGTGCTTACTTGTACTCGGTTTCTTCTACCTCATGTATCAGTATTTTCTTAAACCGCTAATGTAGACAATTAAAGTGCTTGACCAGATCGAAACCCAGTTGCACTCGTAGATTTAAGACTTGGATAATTTGTTACACGCATTGTACAATTGTTTAATAAATTTTATTGTTTCTCCATTGCTATACTTAGAAAACTGAACTAAGCACGGTGCAGACATTTGCACACAAATTGTTTTCGTTTCCGTAACATCCAGCTACTTTTACAACCCCTCAGAGTCCAACCCGATTAAGTGGGTAGACCTGGGGCAATACGGCATCCTTTGAACCAGATTAATAATTGGTAGCACACGCATCAAACCATGATCTAATTACCCGCCTGGGATGCTTAGCTTCGCCACGAAATTGTGACTACTAAGCCCCACCACCACGACAAGGTGCATCCCACGGTGGGGGTCGTAATGTTAACAGTTGTTATAACCTGGCAGCAGATTACGGGTAGTGCGAGGCCCTTCAGGCATTAATTAACTAATTATATAAGATAGAAATTGACTGGCGCTCAACCTCATTAGTGGGAACGAAGCACGAAGATCATACCCCCAGGACGAACTACCGCTGTGGAAGATTTCAAGCTCAACCAACCCTGAGCTAGTTCTTACTCGTCCTGTCGTATTGGGTCATGATGTATTCCAATACCTCTTCAACCTCCTGCACCAAGTATCCCAGAGAAATGAGAGACATACATCCCCGTAAATTTCCTACCGCAAAACTTGGATGACCGACAGGGTAGTTGCCGTACTTGTTCACGTAAGGGTATAGTGAACAAACGTCAATGTATCTTATAGCTTCGGGGGAGGGAGATTAGGTGATTAGGAAATCAAAAACCAAATATCTTTGATCTTTAAAGAGTCCTAAGATATTATATACCTGAGATGTTAAATTATTCTTCAAAATTGACGCTTTACACCAGTAAAATAAGACAAAAAAGCCCGGTGCGATATAAAACTAAAAGGATCTGTTTCTAACAGTCCCTCCAATATAACGTAGGCATTTTGATTCGGGTTCTCACCGACTCTAATCGATTATGTATAGCTTCGTTTCTCGCATTCTAGTTCAAAGAAAAGATTTCCGTCGTATCTATTTCAAACGTTAGTTAAAAAAAAAGGGGGAAGACGATACAAGTTGTGACAGTGACAAAGGCGTGCGTTTAATAGTCAATTTTGGAACAATAGCGAATACAAAGGAGGCTGGAATTGGTATTAATTTGTGTTGCTAATTTGATTATTTCCGCGTTAACTGCGCCTGAAAGGACTGAAACAATAAATAATCGACGAAACATTTGCTCCTGGCAATTATACAGTGGCACTGCTGCAGTACGTTATATTAAATGTAGCGGAAGTAAAGGATCGCTTACACCTGCGCCTGGAACGTGTCGAAACCAACGAATTCGACTGTTCTTTGAGAGGAGTACAAGTGTAGACAACTGAGCAGAGGCTCAATCCATAAGAAGAAGAATTGAAAGGTTTTAAGTATTTTGGAGAAGCTGGAGGAAATGCTCGGGGACATTGCAGCCTAAAAGCGGCGTATTTTGTATGAGTTACCACCCTTTGCGGTTCCTTGTATTATTTTATAAGCAAAACGCAGCAATTTATATTAAGTTTTGACCTATAGAACCTAAAAAACCAGCAAAAGTTGTGTTAAAGGTGTAACGTAAATTTAATTACGTGGTTATTTACCATTATCTAATAATAATAAATTTATGACAGTCTTATTGCGTGATATACGCTACAATTTGCTTATATAGTAAACGACAATTGTTCTAGAATGATTCGGAATATTCTGGGATAATCACGTCATTTTTTCCGAAAGGTTTGCGTCACATACGCCTTCGCTCTTTATCGCCGATGACAAATTTTTCGTGGTGCCTCGATGCCTATCGGCATTTCTAGAAGATTCGCAACACTGTTCCCCGTCTCGCAACACGCAACCTTTGTAGGATTTAAATCCGATTCGACTAATTTGCTGGGTTTGTACAATTTCTTAAAGCACGCGAAGGTCGTGAGTTATACAATCTAATTTGCATAACGTAGATATAAATACAAAATGTGCGCAGCTAATTACTGTTTACCTATTGAAGTTAGTTTTCCACACGGTTACGCAAGTTGTAGTCGAATCTTAGTGTAAAAAAATTGTGGGTGGCTTTAATTGTTTAAATAGTCATCAGTTAAATTCTAAGCTGCGTCTTCCTAAATTTAACATTTTTAGTGTGCGTGTGAGGGTCGACACTTTTGAAAAAATAGTAAGTTGTATCGCAGTATATAATTAAATGACCTCGCTCTTTCCACGCTTATCTACAACAAATTGTTCTTAAAATTATTGCCATAATTGGTTATCGTACATTGAAGTGCAGACAAATGAATTAATGAAGCTCAAAAAAAGCAGTTCCTTTTTTACCAAAAACGACTGCACTAGAATTTCTCGGGAAAACACTTTTTCTTATTAATTTTGGTGCGTAGATTCGTACTTTTTCGATCGGATTTCTCAATCAAAAGTTATGGACTAGAAACCAATTTCGAAAGAAAATTCAAAGGGCTGTAACTTTTGAACTAGTCGCCCAATCTTGGAACTGTTTGAAATTATGGATTCTACAGGCCACATTCTATAAGAAAATTTTTTTCCGGGTCGATCTGAGACAATTTTTTCTTCGGGGCTCAAAAAAAGGCAGTGTATAACCTTCCTTTTTTACCAAAAATCGACTGCACCAAAATTTCTCGGGAAAACACTTTTTCTTATTAATTTTGGTGCGTAGATTCCAAAACAATTCGTACTTTTTCGATCGGATTTCTCAATCAAAAGTTATGGACTAGAATCCTATTTTGAAAGAAAATTCAAAGAGCTGTAACTTTTGAACTAGTAGCCCAATCTTGGAACTGTTTGAAATTATGGATTCTACGGGCCACATTCTATACGAAAATTTTTTTTCGGGGTCCATCTGAGACAATTTTTTCTTCGGGGCTCAAAAAAAGGCAGTGTATAAACCTTCCTTTTTTACCAAAAATCGACTGCACCCAAATTTCTCGGGAAAACACTTTTTCTTATTAATTTAGGTGCGTAGAATCGAAAACAATTCGTCCTTTTTCGATCGGATTTCTCAATCAAAAGTTATGGACTAGAAACAAATTTCGAAAGAAAATTCAAAGGGCTGTAACTTTGGAACTAGTACCCCATCTTGGAACTGTTTGAAATTATGGATTCTACAGGCCACATTCTATAAGAAAAATTTTTTTCCGGATCGATCAGAGACAATTTCATTTTCGCGGCTCAAAAAAAGGCAGTGTATAACCTTCCTTTTTTACCAAAAATCGACTGCACCAAAATTTCTCGGGAAAACACTTTTTCTTACTAATTTTGGGGCGTAGAATCCAAAACAATTCGTACTTTTTCGATCGGACTGCTCAATCAAAAGTTAAGGACTAGAAACAAATTTCGAAAGAAAATTCAAAGGGTTGTAACTTTGGAACTAGTAGCCTAATCTTGGAACTGTTTGAAATTATGGATTCTACGGGCCACATTCTATAAGGAAATTTTTTTTCTGGGTCGATCTGAGACAATTTTTTCTTCGGGGCTCAAAAAAAGGCAGTGTATAACCTTCCTTTTTTACCAAAAATCGACTGCACCAAAATTTCTCGGGAAAACACTTTTTCTTATTAATTTTGGTGCGTAGAATCGAAAACAATTCGTACTTTTTCGATAGACTTCTCAATCAAAAGTTATAGACTAGAAACCAATTTCGAAAGAAAATTCAAAGGGCTGTAACTTTTGAACTAGCAGCCCAATCTTGGAACTGTTTGAAATTATGGATTCTACGGGCCACATTCTATAAGAAAATTTTTTTTCCGGATCGATCTGAGACAATTTTTTTTTCGGGGCTCAAAAAAAGGCAGTGTATAACCTTCCTTTTTTACCAAAAATCGACTGCACCAAAATTTCTCGGGAAAACACTTTTTCTTATTAATTTTGGTGCGTAGATTCCAAAACAATTCGTACTTTTTCGATCAGACTTCTCAATCAAAAGTTATGTACTAGAAACCAATTTCGAAAGAAAATTCAAAGAGCTGTAACTTTTGAACTAGCAGCCCAATCTTGGAACTGTTTGAAATTATGGATTCTACGGGCCACATTCATTTTAGAGTTACCACACAGTCCAGACAATTAAACTCGATACAATGTCAAGATAATCGTTATGAATTAACACACATCTCTACCTTGCAGTTTCTTCGGTTAACTAATGAAAAAAAAGGTGCTCGTTCTTCTACTTTCTCAAAAATGTGCAGCGATGAAGCACAGATCATTAATCATGGCAAGATTTTACACAATTCAACTTGTCTATACATCATTTACGACCGATTGCATCATCATCATTTAAATCATTAGCACATTACTATGTAATGGTTGCAAAAAATATGGGAAACGGTACGTCGTTGACAACGGAATTTGCAGAATTTGCTGACACTGACCTAGAATTCCTTCCTTTAATATCAGTTCGCGTGTCGACCGATTCACACGTGCAGGAAAAAGGTGAGCTAATTTTTTTGTGTGTTCAAGAATTATGGCGGAAAACGAAAATCGCAATCGGGTCGACGAGATGTTTAACAACAAGACGGTGCTGGTCAGTGGAGGTACCGGGTATATGGGGAAGGTTCTCATCGAGAAGATCCTGAGAACGTGCCCAAGTGTAAAGAGGATCTACACGCTTGTAAGGAAAAAGAAGGGGAAGGATCCGCAGGATCGACTCAAAGAAATTTTCAACAGTGTGGTGAGTCCCATACCAAAAATCTTTGACGGGGTGTAATTGAAATTAGATTTTCGACCTGGTGAAAAATACCGTCGGCGAGGAGGTGTTAAAGAAAGTCGTGGTCATTTCCGGAGATGTGCTAGAGGAAAGCTTGGGTCTGTCGAGAGAAGATCGAGCAACTCTGAGAAACGAAACGAATATAATCTACCACTTGGCCGCCACGATTAGGTTCAACGATACTTTAACAAATTCAGTCCTGCTGAACGTCAGAGGAACGAGGTACATGCTAGATTTTGCTAAAGAATGCAAGGATCTAATTGTAAGTTGCTACTTTGGAGAACTTTTGGCATTAGACCAGATTTGTAGGTTTTCCATCACGTATCCACCGCTTACACGTATCCAAAGGAGAAGGTTTTGCACGACAAGCTGTATCCTCCCCCCGCCGATCCTCACATGTTCATAAAGCTTGTCGAATGGATGGACCCAGGAGCTGTCGATTCTATAAGTCAGACGTAAGTGGAGAATTGCCTTTATTGTTAAGCAGATGGGATTTTGTAGACTTTTAAATGGGTACCCGAACAATTACGTGTTTAGCAAAGCACTTGCTGAGGGACTCGTCAATGACGAAATGGATAAGCTACCAGTCATCATTTCGCGACCTTCTATTGGTAAACATAAACCCACACAAAGCTATAAGGAAGTAGCGCGAGCATACTTCTTGTGCTCTTGTTTCTTTCGATTCCTGCCCTATCTGTGTACCAAATTTTGAGCTCATATCTCGTAAAAAAAATGTATAGGTAAATGGTTAATACATCTATAGCAATTATTTTGGAATGTACAGGGTGTCTCATTGTTACGGTGTAAATAAATAACTTTTTTTTAAATTGGACACCCTGTATATTTTTAATTGCTTCGATGTCATTTGTTAAACTCTACATTGAAAGCTTTTTTCTATGATTTTTTGTCAATCTTACAATTTTTTTCCGAAATAATTCCCAATAAACGAGCCTTGTTTTTTGAATTTGAGCAATAATGAGCAAACATGCGTACAGGGTACGACCCTTGTATCTTCTTAATGCTATTAAAAAGTAATAAAGGCATCATGTGCTCTGTTTGAGTCAAATTTTAAATGGTAAAATAAAAAAATATTTGCTCGCTTAAGAGGATCTGGGAGGAAACCCTCAGATCCCCATCTGAGGGTTTCCTCCCAGATCCTCCCGTGCCGAAGGATGCCTCGATCCTTCCACTCGCCCCAATTGTTTAGCCTTTCGAGCCGCTGCCTCCACAGCTAAATCTCCATGATCAAAGTTGGCGTGGTTTTCATGGTTCCAATAACTCCCAGTCGCTGAACCTTTCCTAGTTGCTCCCTGTAGGCCACCATACAAGTGCACCGTACAGTATTATTGCCATTATAATTCGTATAAGTTGGGTCTAAGAGGCGGTGCTAACTGTCTTATTGCCGTTCCAGTGGGAAGATACTAATTTGGTAGCCTCGTCTAGTTCGGCTTGGTACCCACTGCTTTGTCGTCCCTCGCACAGATTACAGCCGCCTCGATCATGTGCTTCGTACCTCAAACAAGATTCTTCATTGTTGTTTGTGAGTTGTTGTGGCTTAAGCTTAGTACCTTGTGTTTGTAATTCTGGCGGTCTGGCTATGGTGCTTACGGTGCAGAATATATACAGGGTGTTTTTTTGGGAGCTTTCTGGGAAAGTAAAATCCGTAGGTTTTTGAAAATTTGTACTTAGGAGTTACTCTGAAGGCCGAATCTATGTAAAATATTTTCAAAATGTCCGCACTTCCTGAAACACCGGAAGTAGATAGTAATTCCGCTATTTTACATGGCAACCCCTATTTTTTATTGCATTTTTTGATTTTACGTGAAATTTCAGTTCTTTTGATACCCATATGTCGATATCTGCCATTTATGGTTTTTAAGTTATTTTGACTTTAAGAAAAAAAATGGCGGATGCAGATGGTACCTTGATAATTGATTATTTGAAAAAGGTTATAGTCATGGCAACCCATTTTTATCAGTGCATAGAGAATGAATAGGGCTTTCTTTTAGTGTACTTAAAAAAAAGTTAAGTTGCGTACAACCGCACCTATGGAGATCCAAATTTAAGAAACTTCAAAGTCTATAAACTCAGTTTTTTTAAATGGAATGACCATGTTCTTAATATTGCATGAGATAGAGAATCGAAATTGGCATATTTTAATATTACATGTTCCTATAGCTATCTTTAAAAGTTTCTGAATTATTCCCATTTCATTGAATTGATCTCGGAATTTTTTTTCGCATTTTCTTTTTAGTAGTTGGCCATGATTTTATAACAATCGAATTTTAAACAAATCAAGGAAAGGATTCTTTAATACCATTGATTCTAGTTCTAGTCTAAATAATTCATTAATAAATAACTCATTTATTAAGGATATAGGACGGAAAATTTTTGAAAAATCTAAACAGTCGTTCAACTGAATTTCTTAAACAACTTATAAGTCTGGAAATTAAGAGAGGTAATGCGATATCTGTTCTAGCAACAATTCCATACCAAAAATGTTTCAACGAAGTTTTTTGTATTTTGCATTGAATTTATTTTGTTAATCTTGCATTTGCAATTCAATTCATTCTCTTAAATATTCTCTTGTAGAGCTTTGTATCACTTGTGCTTCAACGGTTTGTAGTGCATTAGGGGTACAAAATTTCCAAAATTCACGCGCCGCGATTCTGCCCATTTCACCATAAATAACAATTAAATTCAAAAATAGGTGAAACCACTGGGAGTCATTTTTCGATTTTTGAAAAACTTATGTTAACCTATAACAGTGGGTGTTGGATTAGTGTCACTAGATTTGTTTAAAATTCAATTGTTATAGAATCATGGCCGACTACTAAAAAGAAAATCCGAAAAAAATATTGTCAATTCAATAAAATGGGAATAAGTCAGAAACTGTTAAAGATATCTATAGGAACATGTATTGTCCAAATATGCCCATTTCGATTCTCTATCTCATGGAATAGTAAGAACATGGTCATTCCATTAAAAAAAACTGAGTTTTTAGTCTTTGAAGTTTCATAAATTTGGATATCCATAGGGGCGGTCGTACGCAACTTAACTTTTTTTTAAGTGCACTAAAAGAAAACCATATTCATTCTCTATGCACTGATAAAAATAGGTTGCCATGACTACAACCGTTTTCAAGTAATCAATTATCAAGGTACCATCTGCATCCGCCATTTTTTTCTTAAAGTCAAAATAACTTAAAAACCATAAATGGTAGATATAGACATATGGGTATCAAAAGAAGTGAAATTTCACGTAGAATCCAAAAATGCAATAAAAAATAGGGGTTGCCATTTAAAATAACGAAGTTACTATCTACTTCCGGTGTTTCCGGAAGTGCGGCCATTTTGAAAATATTTTACATCGATTCGGCCTTCAGAGTAACTCCTAAGTACAAATTTTCAAAAACCTACCTATTTCACTTTCCCAGAAACTTTTAACTAAAGCTCCCAAAAAAACACCCTGCACAGGGTGCCCAATTTGTATGGAATATAGTCCCATCAAAAGAAGATTTTTTTCTCATCTAATGATATGCGAATTAGTTTACTTTCAGGTGTATTTCTCATTACTTTATCAACAATTCGGCAATAAATCCAATTAGCAACCCCCCCCCCCCCCAGGGTGCACCCATAACTTCGGGTGATCCAGAACCTCGGGATTTCTTCTCAATTCTGGAGTACTTTCCTCCGATTTGAGACGCTTGGTCCCTGACGTCGGGTTGCCCTTCTCAACCAACGACCCGGACACAGCCTTAGGGCTCTCTTGCGAATAGCGAATAAAGCCCTGCGTTGCAGCCCTCTCCTCTTTGGAGGAGCCTGCCCTATACATTAATTTCCCACATATTCTTGGTGGACCACCTTAAATTGGACGCGCACTCCCTCTCATTCAAAATAAAATTTCCTTCCACAGTGATCCCAGTATGGCAAGAACCTGTACCGGGGTGGACCGACAACATCAACGGTCCTACTGGTCTTTTAGTTGCAGCGGGCAAAGGCGTACTACGAACGATGTACTGCGATTCTCAAGGATACGCGGATTTTATTCCCGTTGACATCGCGGTCAACGCTTTACTGGTTACCACCTTGGACTTCATCCTCCGCGGGTATGCTCAGAGCATGTCACCAAGACCGCCGACTGACATAATTCCTTGCAGGCAAAGACGCGTCTACAACTGCACGTCGTCAACGGTCAAAGTAACGTGGGAGGAGATCATTGAAAGAGGAAGAAAACTGGTCGAGAAGCGATTACCATTCAACGGCGTCGTTTGGTATCCCGGCGGATCGATGAAACGTTCCAAATTGCACCACCAAATAAGCGTCATCCTCTTCCATTACATTCCCGCTATTATTCTAGACTCGCTTATCTTCCTGTCGGGGAACAAACCAGTGTAAATGATCGGGAACGAAACGTTCCTGGGATAATAGTAAAATGTTTGTTGCGCAGATTGTGGAAGATCCAGCAGAGGATCACGAGGGGTTCCGACATGTTGGAGTATTACGCAAACAATCGGTGGGAGTTCAAGCGTGACGGTTTGCTGGCCGTGCGTGATTCGCTGACTCAACGCGAGATGGAGCTTTATAAGTTGAACGAGCAAGGTATGGATTTGGACGAGTATTTGTACAATTGCACGCACGCGGCCAGGTTGTACATGTTCAACGAGGGGGATGAGACGATTCCCGCTGCGAAAAGGCACATGGCGATGTGAGTATTCTATAAATTGCGCCGACTTATACTGAGCGATCCATTTCAGAATGTTGTTCGTGGACAGATTGTGCAAGTTTCTACTCGTCATTGGATCTTTTTATCTATTGTATCAGTGTTTTATTGGACGGTGACAATTAAATTAAGATGAATGCTTTTGAATCTTAACAGAACCAACAGAATTAAATAGTACTGTTGAAGATATCAGCGAAAAGAGTGTCTTTCTAAGGGTTTTCCTCTTTAATCAAAAATTCAGAGGACCAAGCTTGATCTCGCTGCTCCCCTGCCACAAAAAGAGTTTCTGAGTTGACGTAACACCAAAGAGTAACCCTATTTGGTAACACCCTGGGGTAACTGGCTTGCCCTGAGATAGCAAAGCGTTGCCTTCTTTGGTTGACTGAAAGCTGAACATCAAAAATATAATCGGAAATTAAAGTACTCGGCCCCGAGGGGGCCTCGCACTTCAATATTTCCTCGCCAGTAATATATCGTTTTATGTAAATAACTATTTCTTCATTGCAAATTTAAATTTTTTTAGTCTTCTGTAAGTAGGTATACACGGTGTCCATTTTTCGAGTGCCACTATGGGGATCTCGCTTATCTTAATAGTTAGAAACTTGGTTTAATTAGGGCAAAGTTGCGAATTTTCGTGCTGAATGATAATCTAAAAATAAATTTATAATATCTTCAATAGTTTTGAAAATATGGCAAAAAATCGAAAATTTCTGATTGTCATTTTTAATTTTTTCATGATAAACTAGTCGTACTAGACATTTCTAATTAACACATTATTCAGACACTTTTTAATGGAGATTTCGAATATGGCATCCCGTTTTTAATAACTTTCAAGACGACGGAGAAACACGTGACAACTTTAGTTTTTTTTATGGGCGCCGTTTTGGACCGACATTTTGAGATTAGGTCATTTTTCTCTTTACAACGGTATATCACACATGGTGGTTCAGTGTCACATTTTTTCTAAAAATACAATTTTCATTTTCTGCGAAGAATGCTATGCAAAAACAAAACATTCTTTTGTTGTGTAACAAAATGTTGACTTATTTCAAGCAGTGTCATTTATGTTTGTGCTAGTTTTATTGCTAAAATATTATTTATTCTTATGTATTTTGTTCTAATTTGAATTACAATTTTCTTGCAAAAAGAAGGTTCAATTCTGTTCATATGAAAATCGAATTTTCTCAACACATCTAGTTCCCTGATGCCAACGCTGCAACCGGACATATGCATCAAACTGTCAAACTTTTGTTCACAATAAAAGAACGTTTTGTTTTTCCAAAGCACTCTTCCCAAAAAATTAAAAATTGTATTTTAGGAAAAATGTGATACTGAACCACCATGTGTGATATATCGTCGTAAAGAGAAAAAAAGACGTAATCTTAAAATCTCAAAATTAAAAATGGCGCCCATAAGAAAAACTAAAGTTGCCACGTGTTTCTCTGTCATCTTAAAAGTTATTTAAAACGAGATGTCACATTCGAAATCTCCATTGAAAAGTGTTCGAATAATGTGTTAATTAGACATGTCTAGTACGACTAGTTTATAATGAAAAAATTGAAAACGAAAATCAGAAAGTTTCGTTTTTTTGCGATATTTTCAGAACTATTGATGGTATTTTAAATTTCTTTTCAGATGGTTATTCAGCAGGGAAATTCGCAACTTTGCCTACATTTAACATACTTTATATCTCTTAAGGTAAGCGAGATCCCCATAGTGGCACTCGAAAAATGGACACCGTGTATGCAGTGTGGAAAAGCCAAAGGGGAGAAGTTCATTATTTCGGTTCTGTACATATAAAATCTTGAAACAAATCAAATTTAAATTATAAATTGACACTCTTTAACGTGAAAATGTGATTCCTACCTTCAACCCGTTTCGAGTGACAGATACCCCCCCACCCCCTCTAATTTATTTAGCGTATCAGGCGTCTTTTGTATGCTAACTTTTACTCTAGCGACGGCAAATTAATTTCGTGTCACTATCGCACAAAATGCGTCAGCTGGTGTCTCTTCCACACAGCGGTGAAGGATCAATCTGAATGGAGAATGAAAGTTTTCGGCATTGAGGAAAAGGACCAGGCTAACCTAATCGCCGGAGAGGGGGGGGGGGCTGAGTTATGGGTTTCCCTCTCTAAATGTGAGAGTCGAACCTGTGCTGGGGAATACGTCTGTAGGACCACCACTACAACACCAGCAGCCGCTACAGGAGCAACTGCAAGAAGCTACGGAAGCATCACCGCCCAGGCAACATGTGGCCAGTGCTCTAGAGTTAGTAACTCACCCGGTCCGATCGTACAAACTTCTCCTTGGAGAAAGACTCGGAGAGCATCCTTTCGTTGGACGCCACTTGAGTTCTGCCGACTTACAGGACAAAGTAGATCTTGTAGACATGTCCTCTGAGGACTCTATAACCATCCCTGGTGGTGGAGGGCAGGAAAAGTCAGTTGGGCCAACTGTTCAATAAGGCAAAGAAGAGCAAAGCTACAGTAAAATGATTGGGCGGTTGCCAGTCAGATGGTGGATGTAGCGAGGGTGACCTGGGCGGTGAAATCGTTCTCAGCATGCAGAGTACCAGAATTGGAGGGCATAATACCAGCCCTTCTGCAATGGAGACTGGTTGTTGTTGTCAGATACCTAGTGAGAATACAGGGTGTCCATTATGTATGGAATATAGTATACAGGGTGGCCATTTGAAAACGAAACAGAGCCTATTATGGGAACCTCAAAACATTTACGAAAAAATCCTCGGACTCGTCAATTTTTGATTCAAGGGGAACCATTTTTTTGCTAGTTTCGCCCCCCTAGCGGGGGTGACGACCGCCCCCAAAATTTTAAATCGAATGGGGGTCGAGTGATACCTTTTTTTGAAGGTATTTTTATGTGGATTATAACCCTTAACTTTTAAATGGCTACTAATTTGCCTAGCCGAAACAGGAGCTAATAAAAGTTATAAAAACGTGTCAACATTTTCTTATGAAAAAAAAATGTTTGTAAATGTATTAGTTAAATAACAAAAATTAATACAACAATAAATACAAAAAATGTTGTTCTCCTACATTCTGAACCGTACTTTTTGTTGTTTTTTTTTCTTTTTAATACCTGTAGGTGGCTATGCCAATTCTGCAACGGAAATCTTAGTTATTGTTGATAGCGTTATTATAGCAACATTTTGAAGTTTAATAGTGATTGTCAATTGTTCTTGTCAAATCATAGTAGTGAAAAATAGCACTTTAAAGTTATTTAGTTGCAAAATCGGTATATTGAACTGAGATAATGGTTTATTCAAATTCTAGTTCATAACATTTGATTGAGACGTCCGATCGAAAAAGTACGAATTGTTTTAGAGTCTACGCACCAAAATTAATAAGAAAAAATGTTTTCCCGAGAAATTTTGGTGCAGTCGATTTTTGGTAAAAAAGGAAGGTTATACACTGCCTTTTTTTGAGCCCCGAAAAAAAAATTGTCTCAGATCGACCCGGAAAAAAAAATTTTCTTATAGAATGTGGCCTGTAGAATCCATAATTTCAAACAGTTCCAAGATTGGGCTACTAGTTAAAAAGTTACAGCCCTTTGAATTTTCTTTCGAAATTGGTTTCTAGTCTATAACTTTTGATTGAGAAGTCTGATCGAAAAAGTACGAATTGTTTAGGATTCTACGCACCAAAATTAATAAGAAAAAGTGTTTTCCCGAGAAATTTTGGTGCAGTCGATTTTTGGTAAAAAAGGAAGGTTTATAATACACTGCCTTTTTTTGAGGCCCGCAAAAAAATTGTCTCAGATCGACCCGAAAAAAATTTTTCTTATAGAATGTGGCCTGTAGAATCCATAATTTCAAACAGTTCCAAGATTGGGCTTCTAGTTCAAAAGTTACAGCCCTTTGAATTTTCTTTCGAAATTGGTTTCTAGTCAGGGGCGGGCCAGGTGGAATTGCATAGGTTACGGGCCATTAAAGTATTAGTGTAGTAATGAAGGTGGCGGGGGGGTAGCTCTGCGGTGCACCACAAAAACATTTTTTGCTTCATTTTAAGGTACTCCTTTTTCGGAAATCAATTACAATACAGTTTTTTTTAAATTGCAGCTGATAATTAAAAGTAACAAAATATACAATCCAAACGAGGCGCGTCGCCTATCATTGTATTTCAGCACTTTCATGCTACGCCAAAAAATGATAAATTCATTGTAAAACACTTCAATTAAAACAGAATTTTTTAATTTTTTAACAACCTAACATCAACTCCAATTAGAGAAACGTGTTAATAATTTATTAATAGTGCAAGAAACTAAATACAGCACATACTTATACATTTCCAACGGGCCATTATGACGTACAGGCCAGGTGGTAATCGCCACCCGCCCCCCCGGGTCAGTCCGCCCCTGTATTCACTTGCTGAAAGAGTTGAAATAAATGATCCTTTTTCTATTGGGCTGATTCAAATCCCAGAATATTTCGTGAGGTGCATACACAACATCCCGAAAAATTAAATGTTTGGGCTGGCATTTTTGGTAACCATATCCTAGGCCCCTTCTTTTTACCTGGCAATCTAACAGGAGAGATGTACCTGGAGTTATTAGAAAATACGATTCATCCAGCATTAGTGGAGATACTAGAAAATAACAACGAGTACTTGGAAAATCGTCTAGTTTTTCAGCAAGATGGTGCGCCACCCCACTATGCTCGTCAATATTTGGACCAAACGTTTCCAGGACAATGGATTGGAAGAAGAGGAGCTATTGAATGGCCTCCTCGTTCCCCGGACTTAAGTCCGTTAGGTTTTTTTTATGGAAGCATTTAAAAACTAAAATGTATGCTAGTCAGCCAACATCGTTAGACAACTTGCGACAAAGAATAATTGATGAATGTCGTCAAATCACCCCAGGAGTTTTGCAAAAAGTACGGGAAAGGTTTGAACAAAACCTGTATTATTGTGTGGAAGTCGAAGGCCAACATTTTCAACATTTACTTGATTGATTTTAGCTTTAAGCGCTTAAAATAAAATTGATTTAAATCTTAAGAGTTATAATCTACATAAAAATACCTTTAAAATAAGGTATCACTGTCACCCCCGCTATGGCTATGCCCCCAGGGGGGCGAAACTAGCAAAAAAATGGTTCCTCCTTGGATCAAAAATTGACGGGTCCGAGGATTTTTTC